TAAGCTAGAGTGTATTTAGAGATTTTATGATATCAGAGCAAATTGTAAAAATTTTATCTTGAGATTTGGTGGTATCAGATTATGAATTGGATAAGTTTTGAGCCTTGTGCATTCGTGGGACTCGTCTCACGAGTGCACGGCGTCTGTCGCGTCTCTGGATTTGGATTCTGGGGCGTGACAGCATCTTTGACTAGAGCAGCTCTGGTTTCATCTTCTGGTCGGTTATCTACTATCTCAACACCCATAACTTGCCGATCATCAGGGATTCGTTTGGGATCAACCTCGGGTGTCTGAGTCTTGCCCTTCTGAGGTTGTGTTACTGAGGTGATATAGCAATGCCGGTCCATCTCCTGGTTGCCTCGCAGCGTTGCTATTCCCGTAGGAGTTGGGAATTTCATGCATAGATGAGATTGGGAAACCACAGCTCGGATTTCAGTCAGCGTGGGTCGACCAATGACGACATTGAATGAAGACGCCATCTTGACTACCAGGAACCTGACTGAAGGGGTCACATAACTTCGGCCACTGCCAAATGCAACATTCATAGTGAGGACTCCTTCAACTGGAACTGGTTGGTTGTTAAACCCGTAAATGGGACCATCATACCGCTGCAATAGAGCAGGATCTAACCCAAGACTCTCAAAACAATGGAAGTACATGATGTCTGGTGCACTCCCTGTGTCAACAAGGACACGCTGCACTTCACAATTGTTGATCGTGACAGAAGTGACTAGAGGATCATTGTGAGGTGTGACAATTGTTTCGAGATCAGCAAATGTGAAAGTGATGGGTTGATTCTTCCACTCAGCATCGTCAAATTTTCGCTTCTGAGCTCGGTTCTGATGCTTAACCTCTCTTACATACAACTTTCGCTGCTTAGAGCTCAGTCCACCGGCTTCCAGACCTCCCGTAATCATGTGTATGACTCTAGCTGGTGGTGGGAGTGGGGGTGGAGGTGGGGCTTGCTGATATCCCACACCTTGTCTGTTTGGGGGATTGCAGATTGCTTGATGCTGTGGCCCTTGTTCTCTGACAAACCTTGGTTGTTCCACTCTTTGGATGTACTTATTCAACATTCCTTTCTGTGCCAGACTTTCCAGTTCGGATCTCAGACTATTACATTGCTCTGTTGTATGACCGTGATCTTGATGAAAATCACAGTACCTAGTATGGTCTCTGGTAGCAGCAGCAGTTCTCATTGGACTCGGACGTCTTAAGTCCATCTTATTCTTAATCTGCATAAAGATTTGTGACCTCGGTAAATTAAAAGGAGTCCAATTAACTGGAGGTTTACCTGCAGGTTGTTGTGGAGGTGCGGAGTTCGGCCTTCCGAATCTCAGGGTGGAAGTCGACATTGGGCCTCGGTTCTGTGGTGTCTTCATCCGTTTCTTGTTCGGATTCTCATCTCTCCAGTTCGGGTGTTGATTCTTAACAGGGGTGATGTTCTGCGACAGGGCATATTCCTCAGCAGTTATGAATTTCAATGATCTATCATTTACCTCACTGAAGGTGGTGGCAGGATGTTTAAGCAGACTATCTCTGAATCTTTCATGGCCGAGACTCGAGATCACAGCTGTAATTCCCACTGATTGGTCGAAAGAGTTAACCTTTAACACTGCATCATTGAATCTGCTCATAAAATTCTTCAAAGATTCTCCGTCCCTCTGCTTAACTCGCATCAGCTCGGAAGTGGTTTTCCTGATCAACCTTCTACTGGAAAACTTTGTGGCAAAAGCAGATGCCAGTTCTGTGTACGAGTTGATTGACCTCGGAGGCAGACTGTAGTACCAGGTTCGAGCATTACCTCGGAGAGTAGAGGGAAAGATTTTGCACATCAACGCATCAGAGGCGTTCTGGGCCTGCATGCAAGAGTAGAAAGCATGTAGATGATCATCGGGGTCCTTAGTCCCATCATAAGTTTCAAGCTGTGGTATTCGGAAGCCAGCGGGATAGGGTTCCAGTATAATATTGGTGTTGAGAGGGTGAGGTACGGAGTCAGCAGCAGGGTGTGGAGGTGGGACACCTCGCTGTTCGACCACTAGCTTTTCTAAGCTATCTAAATGTCGAGTGACATCATCACGAGGGGGTTGCATAACTGGTGCGATGTGAGACTGTCCTTGAGATTCACTAACAGCAGGAGCATGCTGAACTGGTTCGGGGTTTCGTGGTGGGACTGGGGGCTGTGGAACAGGATTAAGTAGGTTGATGAGTGGATCGCCAGGATTGTTCCGGACTAATAACTGAGCCAGCACTAACTGAAAAACACCAAACTGCTGTTGCATGGCGGCAAGCTGAGTTGCAACTACGTCTTGGTTAGCAGTAGAGGCTGAGTTGCTAGCCGAATTGTGTGGCTGGTTTTCATCCCCTCCTTCGGTATGATCAACATGAGGGAATGTATTCGTGATTGGGGGTGGGGGGTGAGGTGGAAGGTTGCTGGGGACCTGACCTCGTCCAAGAGGTTGAGACGAGTTTCCACCTCGGGTTGACCTAGTTTTAACCATGATAAGAGCAACAAAGAAGCCTTTAGTTCGGATTCCCACAGACGGCGCCAAAATGTAACTGCACCAAACCAGATGTCCTTCTTCACTTAGTATCTGCACTCCGGATTGACCTGCAAAGCCCCAAGATGGATCTCGGGGTAGACACTCCGATGCTTAAGTCAGCAATAATCGGGGCTACCAATAGAGCAAAGATTAGAAGAGCTTAGGGTCGGTTTCAATCACCTTTTTGACGTGACCCTCGAGGGGTATTTATATGTTCCAATGAAGAACCCACGCAGCATGCTAAGCAAGACATTCGGGATTTGGTGTGTATCTCCGGGCAGTTATTTCGGGATCAGGAAATTAAGCCCAGCAAGATATTTGGGATTTGATATGTATCTTTAGGCAGTTATTTCGGGATCGGGAAATTAAGCCCAGCAAGATATTCGGGATTTGTTGTGAGGATGTCCATCGTAACTGCTGTGCAGTCGTCCGAGCAAGGAGTTCTGGATTTACTCTTCATTCCGGTTGTAAAGGAATTACTGTCGTACGTCCGAGGTGCGGCACCTCGGACCTGCCCTTATAGGACCAAAGCCCAAACTTTTCAAGGAAGTAAGAACCCAGGCACACTTTCTTGGCTATCCTCATTTCTCCCTCAAGTGAAGGTTGGATGTGGAGGGCTTAGTTTGTATTTAGTAAAAAGAAGGGTGGCTGAAGTGACCCTTCGCGCATCATAGAGTACTTTGCTACTGTAGAGTTTAGTTAGGAGACCTCCTCCACTCCAGCTCCAAGCCTCCAACCAACCAGACCTGATTGGGTTTAATTTAATTTATTAATAATAATTATTATTAAATTATTAAATCCAATACTAATACTACGACTTCACCATTTTCTCTCTCCTCTCTACCAGAATCTTCCTTCCACTCCCCTATTCTCTTCACTATTTCAATTCCAATTCCAATTCCAATTGTTTATGGCATGAGGAGGTTACATGCGGGAGGCCTTTGCAGTCCACTTAGATTATTGAGATTGATTCTCCTCAAAATGGTATCTTATAATTTATATATAACTTTTGCAATTCTCTGTTTCCTGAACTCAACAATAACAGTCAATAGGAAACGATGCAAAAAAAAGGGTTTTATATATCTTTCCTACAGACTCATCTGTGTTTTGGAAAATATCAATTTTTATACTATGAAATGGTCCGCATTCTGTGTTAATTGATTCTATTTCTTTTCCACATTCACACTCCTACAACCACAGAATTAAACTTGCAGATTATAGTTTGTGTGTTAATTAGTTGTTTTGCTTTGGAAACAGCAGTTTACCCCAGAAATTTGTGGGCTAATCTGGGTGCAGGTGCAGCCTGGTCAATTCACGGCTCTGGTATTCAAACTTTGAACATGGTTTCCTCTTTTTTCTAATTTCTTTCTCGTTTGTGTTTATGGCATCCTTAATTACAACGATATTGATGGAGCAACTCTCTTTGCAGCTCACATGTCTGCTAAGAATTATTATGAGATATTTTGTGTGAACAAGAGTGCCACTGCATCTGAAATCAAGTAAGCTTATTTAACGGTGGTTTTCTTCTCTAATTATATGCGTATCTTTTTTACTGCCACTCCGCCAGTCCATATTGTCCACTGCATCATTCTTTTTAAGTTTGGAATTAAAAAATCATC